TCTGAAAGCTTCGCAATCACTGCCCTATTCTATACCCAAATTTGTTTCTTAAGTGAAAGTGTTGCATTTATCTCATCTATATTTTATTCAAATAATTTCAGCCCATTTCTCTACTCTACAATTTTTAATTTTATCTTTATTTTTTAGTTTTAGCTATTCCACTCAATGTTCTATCAGCAGCAGATCTGATAAATATCCTCTTTGGTACCCATCTAAGTCATTGATAAAATATTGAATAATACAAAAACAAGGGATGAACCCTGTGGCATTCCACTTGATTCCTCTCTCCAATGAGGCAGAGTGATGTGCAACCACTGAGGAGCACTCAATAAGAATTTTGTCACCTCTGTATCCATTTAACTGTTATACCGCGCAATTTACACTTAATTAGCTTGATAATCAAAATATCATGAACTACTTTGTCATACTGTTACTATTATTTACTAGATATGCTGTATTCTTTCTTGAAAACTAGATATGCTGTACTACTCAAATATAATACTTCAAGAGAAAGATGGCATATATATATATATATATATATATATATATATATATATACATACTGTATATATTGAACTCAGCAGAAGTAGCCTGCAGTACTGCCATGGTGCTGCAGTGGTTAGAATGCAGTACTGCTGACTGATTGCTGCCAGCAGTTCGATTCTCACTGGCTCAGGGTTGATTCAGCCTTCCATTTCGGGAATTTATGGCCCAAATGTCATCTTCCAACATTATGAATTTATAGCATATAGCTTTCCCACAGTTCAGTTGCTCAATCAAAAAAATGACATAAGGATTTGGCAAACCTTGTTTTTGACAAATCCATGATGTCTCCTGTTAATTACAACATCGTTTCAAAATTCTTAGATTGTTACAATATTCTCTTGAATCTTTTAAGATATTGATTACAGATTGTCGGTATTCATCTTTGTTTTTCTGAAGACAGGAACAATTGCCTTCCTTCAGTCTTCTGTTCATTCTCCAATATTGTTAAAAAGATAATAAAGGTTTGGACCAATCAGCAGCAATGTCTTCACACCCCTAGAATGCAATTTGGCTTCTGCTGGAAATTTAAACTTATTCAAAGTAAATTTACCTATAATTTGTTACCATACACTAAGTAGTCTGTTTTTATGAATTTTTATGATTTTTTAAAAATAAGAGTCCATTGGAGTTGAGAGGCTGTAATCAATTTAAATAAATGTTAGTAGTTTACAGAACACTCAAATCAGTGGGAAATAATACTTAAGATCTTGCTAGATAACCTTCTGTTTGTTAACAGAAGAAAAATATTGATATTTACAAAAAAATAAACAGTCAACAAATGTGAGGATTATCTGAGATGCACTTAAAGTGATAAAATGATAAGACAATATCTTCTGTCTCTTGGGAGGAAATGAAAGAAATACATTGTAGAAATTTGTAAAAGGATGTAAAGGAAACTTTGAATATTTATGTTAAATCATACATTGGAATCCTACTATTATTTTAGATCTGTAAAAATGGGAACTTGACCAATTATATGCACCAAGTACATTAATTAAAGTATTAATTAAAATTAATTTTAATTTAATTAAAGCAATTTAATTAAAGGAACAGGGTCTAAAACCTGGCAAACTGCTAGTTTCATAACTGAAACAATTAAATAAAAAAAGAGCACACACTATAAGAGATTTTGCAAGGATACATCACAGCAATTATAAAGCAATGCATTCTTCATTTGAATTTCAGGCAAAAATGTATTTATTTTCCCAATGTGCATGTAGCATATTGTCAGAACCACCTTTAAACAATGGTTGCTCTTGCCACCTTATACACAATCCCAGGAAAAGATCTGTTTGCCTTAAGATGATATAAGCTATGTGCACATCCTTATGAGCTCTAAATCCTAGTTTATCCTTCTATTCTAAACCACTGCTCAGCACTATAGCTTTGCCTTTACTTGGTTGTTAGCATTTAACCACCTTGACTGATCAGGTGATATGCTATTTCCCTTTTATTATGACATCTAAAAAAATCATTTTATTGTTGTTGCATTCTTTAACAATTTCATATCAGGAGCAGAATGTCATTTTTCATTAGTTCTTCCTTCTTACAAAGGACAAGTGTCTTTTATAAAGGATAAAGTTAGAAGTGGTATCTGAATGTAAAAGTAAATCGCTGACAATCTTTTTCGTCCAGCAAGATGTGTATTGCACAAACAAGTTACTCTTAATAATGGAAAGCTTGAACTTAGGGTTGTCAGAACATCTCAGTGGTCACGTGAGGGACATTTGGACCAGTGGTGGGTTTCAATTTTTTGTACTACCGGTTCTGTGGGCATGGCTTGGTGGGCATGGCATGGTTTGGTGGGTGTGGCATGGTGGGCATGGGAGGGGAAGGATACTGTAAAATCTCCATTCCTCCCCAATCCAGGGGAAGGTTACTGCAAAATCCCCATTTCCTCCAGATCAGCTGGGACTTGGGAGGCAGAGAATAGATGGGGGCAGAGCCAATCAGAACTTTTACTACCGGTTCTGCGAACTACTCAAAATTTCTGCTACCGGTTCTCCAGAACTGGTCAGAACCTGCTGAAACCCACTTCTGTTTTGGACCTTTGCAACCAACAGGCATTTATGACCATCACTGTGTCCCACACTCATGATTGCCATTCATGTGCTTCCCAGCTGGCTTCCAACAAGCAGAATCAACGGAGAAGCCAGCAGTGAAATTGCAAGTCAGTGATGTGATGTGTTGCTTAATCACCACAGTGATTCACTAAACAACAGCAGCAGCAGGAGGTCGTAACTCTTGGAGTCAAATCTTAATTACAGCTTTGTGCAGCAATGAAGTTGCCAGTCCCAATTGTAGAGTTATTAAGTGAGGGCTATTTCAGAGGTGGGTTTTCAGCAGGTTCTGACCAGTTCCGGACAACCGGTAGCGGAAATTTTGAGTAGTTTGGAGAACCGGTAGTAATAATTCTGACTGGCCCCACCCCCACCTATTCTCTGCCTCCCATTTCCCAGCTGATCAGGAGGAAATGGGGATTTTGCAGTAACCTTCCCCTGGAGTGAGGCGGGAATGGAGATTTTACAGTATCCTTCCGCTGCCACGCCCACCAAGGCACACCCACCAAGCCATGCCACACTCACCAAGCCACATCCACAGAACCGGTAGTAAAAAAAATTGAAACCCACCACTGGGCTATTTGTATGTTTAATATGATCATCCATATTTACAGCTCAAATCACCAGGCTCAAATTATTCTACTTTAGACACGGAATAATAGAGTTGGAAGGGACCTTGGAGGTCTTTTAATCCAACCCCACTATACAGGTAGTCCTCAATTTACAACCACAATAGAGTCCAAAATTTGCGAGACATTTGTTATGTGAAATTTACCCCTGCTGCAGACATTTCCTGCTTCCATTGACTTTGCTTGTCGGGTCACAAAAGGTGATCACATGACCCCGTGACACTGCAATCGTCATGAGTCAGCTGCCAAGTGTCTGAATTTTGAGCACGTTGACCCATGAGGATGCTCCAAGAGTTGTAAAAGTGTGAAAAACGGTCATAACTCATTTTTTCCAGTACCGTTGTAATTTTGAACAGTCACTAAATGAACCATTGTAAATCAAGGACTACTTTTACCAATTTAGACAAGCGGTCATCCAATTTCTTCTTTAAAAAGCTACAATGATAGCGTGTCCACAAGCAAAGACACATGCAAAGACCCAACGATCAGAAAAAAAGGCTCCAGTGTAGGAAAGGTGGAAGGAAAGAGAAGTGGGCAGCCAACATCAAGGTGGACAGAGTCAGTAACATTGGCGATGACTGTCCCAGAGGTGCTTTTTTTCAAGAGGCAACTGGACTTTCTGGTTTTTTTTTTCTTTGAAGACGTTTCGCTTCCCATCCAAGAAGCTTCTTCAGCTCCGAGTGGATGGTGAGGAATGGAAGGATTTATACTCCTTGCAGACAGCTCACTATCCTGTCACAGCTGAAGAAGCTTCTTGGATGAGAAGTGAAACGTCTTCAAAAGAAAAAACTAGAAAGTCCAGTTGCCTTCTGAAAAAGCACCTTTGGGACAAACCATGATGACCTGGATGACTGAGAATCTGTATAGATTATTGGCGATGACTGCACCAGTAGAAGACGTGAAAGACCAAGTTACAGACAGATCGTCAGGGAGGAAATCTGTCTACCCTGGTCACAAGGAGTGGAAAGAACTTGATGGCATATAATCAATCATTCATTTAGGAATAAATAAATAAATGACTGCTGCTTTAGCATTAAACAAAATATGAACGCTCTATCCAAATGTTAATCACAATTCCTGCAGGAACACATTGAGACTGTGCCTGGAACAGGCGCGCATGCGTATCTCTCCCTCCCCACCATCCATTCCCTCCTCCCCCCCACCCACCCCTCTTCTCTCTCAGCCCCACCTTCCCGCGCCTACTTGAAATCCCATTTGACTCGCGAGAAAGAGACAGGAAAATGATGCAGGCAGAACCTGCTCTTCAGACGAGTCATTAGTAGATCTAGAAAATTTGTGACAATTATTCACAAACACTTCCAGGTACCGTTCCCCCTTTTTTTTTAATCGGCGCAATACTTCATTACTATCTATCCAGCGGCTCGTCTCTTTGTTTCGGTATCAGAAAACAGTTTTGACGCCGTTTTGTTTTCTTCAATTTCTAACTCTATGCAGGTTTTTTTTCTCCGAGGACCCCAAAGTTTTGCCTACACCGTTGCCTGTTCCTTACGCCGAAGGGTGTCTCTCTCTCTCTCTCTATCCAGTGAGGCCCACAAACACACCTACAGTCGGTGCTGGCTTGCTTGAAATAAGGAACTATAAAAGGGAACTGTCCGCCGTCTCTTGTTATCGCGGATTTTCCCATGTCGGATTCTTCGAATCCGGCGATAAAAATCAGGCGGCTGCGAGACGACACGCGCCAGAGAGGGCGCGTCGGGGTCCTTCGCGATGGCGGAACAGGAAGTGGAGGAAAGGAGGGGCGTGGCCGCGTCGCGGGCGGGGATTCACTGCTGCGAAGTGAGTCGCGTCCTGCGCTGGGGTGGCTGCCGAACCGGACCCCGCCAGGTTGAACACCCCCCCACCCCTCCCACCGCCTCGGGGTGTTGCCGTTATTAACGTTCGTGCTGCCGCCGTCGCCGTCATGCCGCTCTTCGCCTCCAACCCCTTCGAGCTGGATGTGGGTGAGTGGAACGGGATTTTTCCACCCGGCAGAAGAAGAGCAACAGCCGCATTAAAGGCTCTGGGCACGGCCTCGGGTCGGTTCTCCCCTCTCCCGGTGGGGTGGGGGGGGGGAGAATCAGCTCCGTCGGCATAGCCAAGCCTCGCCCACCCCCTCCCCATTTGCCTCCGGCTTTGCTTCTCAGTCCCCGTCCCAAGACTGACTGTCCTCTCGACAAGGAGGCCGGTCGTCCTGTGAGGATCAGAGTTGAGAGGCCACCTGTGCGGGAGAGGAAGGTGGAGCAAGACTAACCCTCTTGCTGCAAGAGGCCCCTGATTTACCTGGAGGGAATAATGTGGGTTCCCCCCCCCGCCCCCCATATTAAGTGGCTCAAGTGATTTTGCGAAATACTCTCTGGCTGGGCAAACCTGATTCTCCTCCTTTTCGCCAGGTCAGACCTGAAAGCGAACGATTTGCCCAAGATTAAATTTAAGGTGGGAGGGATCCTAATCTGATCTATAAATATATTTTAATCGGCTTGGGGGGGTTTTAAAAAATCCACAGGCCCACCTCTTTATCTGTATTATTATTAACAGTCGTATTGCCAGAACTATGGACACTTTTTAAAAGTGAGGGGAGGGGAGGGGGAAACTGAAACTTCAGAAACTGAAGCCAAAAAAATGACTTCATATCAAAAGAAGTCATAGTTTTAACTTTCGGTTGGAAACAAAAATATGTTTACAGCTAAGTAAAGTGATCTATCTATCTATCTATCTATCTATCTATCTATCTATATTAATGCTAATAGAGAAGGAATTGCTGCATTTCGTTAAATGAATGGTTTCATAGAAAGGAATTTATTTTGCATTCCCAACAACTAAACACCCTTTGGTGATTTTTATTTTTTATTTTTTGGTCAGCACAGATTTATAAGGCAAGGAAATGGTCTTTAAAATATAACTGGAATTAGGGGAGGTGGCCAGTTATGTTGACGATTCAAAGACCAGTTTTGATTGGTAGGAATAGAAGTTAAGTTCTTAAAGGGTCTTAAATAATTAGGTGCTGGTCTTGGTTTAACTACATAGAGCTGTTGCTTGGTTAAATCTCAAAAACAAAGATCTTTATTCCAAAACCTAATAAGATTTCCAGGTACTGAAGTTGAATTTACTAGATTTGTTTTCCCTCTTTACTGCTTTATACCTTTATTTTAGCTTCTCTTGCTTAGTTGAATTCATGAGATTTAGATCTAAAAGTGAAATAATTCACAGCTTTACAAATTATTTAAAGCTGGGTATTAAGGGATTAGGCAAGAACTCATACATCAGTAGAGATGACAAGACACTTTTCTTTCTCATTTGTAATAGTACAGCTATAAATCATCTGCATGTTGCAGGATGACATTTTTGATGGTTGAATATGTTAAAATTAGAGAATAGGTATCTTTACAAGCTGTAAATACCTGAGGGAAATATCCCGTTAAAATTCAGTTGGGTTTTACAATATTTTATATGCATATGTGTATGAGATAAGTATAATGCTTAGTAAATTATGTGCTTGCAGATTTGAGTCACATTTGTACTGTACGTTATTGTCATGAATTATTTTTAAAGAAATACATTTTTTCATACTGTCTAAAAGTACTTGATCAAAGTTATTTTAAAAATATCACTAAAACAAAGCCTTTAAAAAATTGCACAACAGTGAAAAAAATCAATACAAAGTACTTTAAATTTTTTTTAAAAACTCCTCTTTGAGTTTTCCAAAAAAGACATAACCAAGAAAACATTTTTCTTCATAAGATAGTTTGATGTTTTAGAGAAAGTTGACTTGCCAGTGTTTGCTTCTAGGGTTGAATGTTCCTCATGGGCAAAGAACAGAGACACACAACGGACATATAATATTAAGTTATAATGTGGTTTAATGTTGCTTTTGGTTTAGACTCACTGCAAAAGCACCCAAGATGGAGTTATTGTTACAAACTACATTGTGAAGAGCCCTTAAGATAATGTTCAGGTTCCTGCATGAAATAATGTATTCAAAATCACAAAAATAAAAATACAATGAAATTCATTTCTGGCCTATCTAATCCATGTTTTTCAATAAATAGCACGGTGCCACTGAATCCTGACATATAAAAATTTCCACCAGTGTGGATGCTAGCACTACACAGTGTATAACATTAAAAAATGATTATATTTTTCAATCACAGTCTGTCATGGAACCTCTAGCGACCTCTTGCGGAACCATAGTTGAGAAAAACTGGCTTAGAGCCTAGAATATTGGAAGATTATTCTTCAGTGTGTGCAGATGTTAGATTGTATAAGGATTCAAAAGAGATTTTAAATGGAATAGATGGGAAATTAGCTGCAATTTAATAAAAATTTACGGGCTTTATATTAAATTCCTGTCAGAACCAATTACATTTTATGTTAGCTGAAGCTTCCAGAAACTTAACAAAAGTCCCTACTCAGATATATATAATATGACTAATCTTTTATTAATGACAAAACATTTACTATCAGAACCGATTTCTTTTTCTCTTGAGAACTTAAATTCTGAAAATGGTAGTGTTTTGCTAATGAAAGTTGCAATCATGTGCGTGCTTCCTCAGATTTTATTGATGTAAATTGTTTAACTGCTGTTTTAATTTCTGGTGACAAGATGTTTTTAATTTCAAGATGTACAAATCACATTTTTAAATATTACACCAAGAGAGAAGATAAATAGAATTAAATCTTGAGCTTTTTTATATCTTTAAATGTTCATAAAATATTTAATTCTAGCACAATGCACATTATATATCTTTAGAAGAATCATAGAAACAATGCTCTTGCATGTTTTCGATGAAATAAGTGTTTTAAAAGTAGACATTTTAATCAGAAAATCAAAGATAAAATTTACAAAGGGTCTTAGAGAGCATCTAGCCCAGTGCAGAAATCTATTATTATAGCAGTTTCCGCAAATGACCACCTAATAGTCTATTTCATTACCGAATAGCATTTATCTTCCAGAACATCTTCCTGATGTCCATCTCAAATCTTCCTTGTAATTTAAACCTACTATTGCTTTTCTTCCTGAACAGTTTTGCAAGTTGCTTCCTAAATATATTTTTCTTAGTTCTTCTGTGTTGTAATCTATTATTTTCCAAGACTCCCTCATCTTGGAAATACGTTCCACGATCAAACTGCACGCCACCTGTTTGCTTCCAGTATTCTCTCTCTTCTTGGACCAAGAAGGAGTGAAGGAAATATATCACCTGTGTTCTCAGCATCATCATCTTGGTGCTGTACAGTACCTTACAGTAACTTCAGGATTGTATCATTTATTCCCATATGGATTAGTGATGAGGGATAATGGTTAGTAGACATTGAGTATTTTGGGAGCCTTATATATGTAGGTTTTTTTATACGCCATCCAATCCTAAGGACTCTACATGGCTAAGAATCTCATAAAATTATACCTGTAAAGAAAGAAAAAGAGATAAAATCCCAAATATACATAAAGTTAAAAAGTAGAATACATAAAAGTAGAAGATACAAAAGTCAGATGCTCACAGAGCTGACTGAATATCTCTAGGTAATAAGTAGTTGTCGAAAAAGCCCACTTCTGAGGACCTGTCAGCTGGCAGTCTTGTAAAAATGAGACCTTAGGGAGTTGACTATATAACCAGATCCAGAATTATGCAGGGATTGGTGGCAAGATGGGCAGCTATATAAAACTATTAAGTATGTAAATAAGACCCAGTGCTTTTCTTAAACCAGAGGATTCGTCTATACAAGATCAACTCATAACTCTCCAAATTGATACAGTACATTCTATACCAGGTGTAGGCTTTGAATATTCTTTGAGAGAGGCCCAGAAGGTTACTAGAACACAAATGACTATGAGCAAGACTTCCTGATCCAGGAATGTCCACAATTGGCACAAAGAAGTAACTGTGGTAAAGTTATTATATTTTTAATAGGTTGTTAGCCCTCCTGGATAAACCAGACAGGAAACATGACTAGATGAGCTAAATCTACATTATTGTAAGGCTACATTAGCACAATTTTGCAAGTCTGAAAGTACAAAAGTCTCACCCCAGTTTTAATGGTTTGATCCATTAGGCCGGGTTCTTTCTAAGTTTCTTTCACTGATTATTAAACCACTGAGAGCTCCTGCCTCTTTTATCTGATTATTTCCTGGACAACATTTCTTCCCCTGTCCACATTCCTCAAGATTATTTACCCATTCCATTACACTTGCCCTTTATATAGGTCAACTATATATAGGTCAACTCAAGGCAGTGAACATATCTAATACTCATGCCTCCTTCCTCACAACAACAACAACAACTTTGTGAGGTGGGTTAGACTGAGAGAGTAATTGGCCCAAAGTCACTCAGCTGGCTTTGATGCCTAAGGATGCCTAAAACTCACAGCCTCTTGGTTTCTAGGCCGCTACACTACACCAAACTCAATAAAAGTTCAGAAGTTCTCACAGGAAGATACAAGGTTGCAAAACATCTGAGATAAATAACACACTTGTTCTTCGTGAACTCCTTGCAGACAGATTACCTTCCCCCTTCCCCCAGCAGTTTCAACATATGTTAAAGAGAAGTAGAAGCAAGCAGAGCCCTTAGCCACTTCCTAGAGTAAGGTTGTCCTTCCATCACATTTGAAATTGGCCTTCAGAAAGGAAGGCAACTACTTATTATCCTATGGCTGCCGCAATAGTACTGTAATCCAATGACAGGTCAAGAAGGATCATGTTGTACTCCCCAAATCCCAATTTCTCAATAGGTTGTCCATAAGCATGACTAATGCATGCATGACTGCTGTACCTTGGCCTTAAACTTGACTCTGTAAATCCAAATAATTCCCTTCCTTTAGGTCTCAGTGGAACTGTGGGCCCACCATTTTCTCTACATTTGCTCCCAGAAAGATCTGAATTGTAGACAGATCTGAAATGTTCCAGAACAAATAAACAGGAGTGACAGAACAGTCCCCTTACAGAAAGAAGCATTGATTATTACTTGACTGC